GTAACCGAAATAAGCCAGATTTTTTCATACACGCTTCCTAAAGTTTATATAAGCAAGTAGAAGAATATAAGGTGCCTGGATACGCTTGTTTATTTTGTCTGTAACATTGGGAGAGCACAAACTGGCAGAAAGCCAGAGCCAGGGGCAGATAAATAGTTGACCTAGGCCCAGAGGCATCAACACAAAGAAAATGTAAGGCAATAATGACCTCAACCACCCCTCCCCCTCCCCAATTACCCCAGCCCCTTTTACAAATTTTATGGGGACATGGGCCAAAGAAGATGTCATAAGCATTGTTAAGTGCCTAATAATAATACTAATAATAGCAATAATAATTATAATGTGCTGAATGGGAAATAAAAGTATAACTAAAATAATATAATATATAAAGTAAAGTAAAGGACTCCTTTCTACGCCTTTAGGCCTGTTAGGCGTATAGGGCTAGCCCTATATTATATTGACTGTACGTCCAAGGGCTGTACTCGGTACCCACCCAGGGCCGAGTTAACCTGGGAGCCAAGGCCATTAATACACAAGAAGGTCCGGCTCCGTCAGGACCCGAACTTACGACTTTCCGATCTGCAGGCGGGCGTACAGCCGCCTGCGCCACGGCGACTCCCGATAATAATAATAATATTAATAATAATAATAATAATAATAATAATAATAATAATAATAATAATAATAATAATAATAATAATAATAATAATAATCATAATAATCATAATAATAATAATAATAATGTTCTGAATGGCCAATAAATATAATAATGTAATTAAAATAATATTTGTATTTTGAAAATTGTAAAGAAAGCTTCCTGACTTGATGGGGGGGGGGGGGGGTGGGGGGGGGTGAGGGCCCTAGCCCGCTTACAAAATGTACATTGGGGGGGGGGGGGTGGGGAAGAGCGATGCACCACTAAATTATGTTTCGAAAGGGGCGCTTTAGGTACCCCCACCCCCGCCGCCTCTCCACCACCCCCCCCTCCCCCAACATACATCTGAGGGAGTATGAACTGTTATGTAAAGCTGATGTTTGGAAACTGGGAATTAAAACGATAAATATTTTAGTAGGTAAAGCTTTATGGGTGTTATATACTGGCGTTTCACATCTAGTATGTATTTGATTGTATGAGCTGAGGTGGCTAGTTTCCACCTTTTTTAAGCCACCTTTTTTATGTATGTATGTAAGTTGTACCCCACCAAGGCATGACACAAGCAATGAACAACAGGTGACACAAAGTGCCACCATGCGGAAGAGGATCACCAGTGGAGAGGTCCCAGAAACCCCTTTCAGCCGTTAGGCCATATCTATGGCTAGGCCATATCTATGCCCCGGCTATATTAAGGGCCCCCGGCAGAAGCCAGAGTGGGGCTTCAAATTTAAAACAAAATTGCATCCCACATGAGGACGACTTTTTAGCTGAAATAAGCCACCTTTTTTTATTCCGAGCGGTTGATAAATGGTACCGACTGTCCTGCCCACCTGGGACTGATAAATTAGAATCCTTATTGTGTCGAGTGCCTTTTGTTGGTTTGTGGGGATGGGAAATAGTACCAGGGGCTAAGCAGGAAATTAAAAAGAAATGCTGACATCTAAAAGATCTGAACATCAAGGAAGACTGGCCAGTCTTGTCTTGGAAGCGGAAATAGTGCGATAATATCAAGCGCCTCCATGGATTGGAAAGAATAATAACAGAAGGCATGGTGCCAGGAAAGTGTAGCAGGTGTTGATCAGTGCAAAACTGGGAGTAGGATGTAAGTGAACCCTTCGGTAGGAAAGTACGCGCGGCGGGAGATTTGAAGAGAGCTCGAATTTATTTCAGACAAACCATGATGAGAGCGTCGTTCTGCAAAAAACATGCTGCATGATGATGATCAGCAGATAATTGAAGTATTTCGGCTATTTTGAAAGACACAAAATACATTGTTTTTTTTTAACATCTTGGAAGGAACAGTTGAAGACAAGCGAGCAAGAGGCAGAAGCGATACAATTGGGAGAATTACATCAAGAGAAAGACAAAAAGCAGTCTGAAACAGATTAAGGGCAAAAGGCAGACCATGTTGGAGATCTATTACAGCCAAACTTTATTTTGGAGACTGCATTTGATCTATTGTCGAACCAAGGGTACTAGGTAATATCCTGGAAGGTAAAGGCGGTTCGTGTGATATTGATCATGTCCACCCACAGAGTACAGATTGTTCTGTACAAATGTAACGCTAACACAATCCAGGGTGTCTTCGACTTACGACCGCATTCCATTCCGACTAACAGGTTGTAAATCGAACTGATCGTAGGTCAAATTCATATTTTCTAACACTGAAACGGGTTGTAAAAATTATACGTACAGCAAACACCCTTACGTTGGTTTCGACAGTGGTATCAAGAAAGCCGACCTCCAGAAAGCAATGGCAAACTACTGGACGTAAATTTGCCTAGAAAAACCACACAACAGCCAGGGGCTGTTGGGGTTGGTTCTGCAACGTCCTGTAAAGGATACGCAACTAACGTAACACCAAACACAGTCGTGGGAGGTCTGCAGTTCCGGATAGTCTGCCGTACTTAGGTCAAATATACTCTAGATGTCTAGACACTGTTGCACTCTAGACGTCTAGACCCTGTTGCACTCTAGACGTCAGTTCCTGCACCTGTTTGACCCAGCCAATGAGGTTTTCTTTTTTTTTTTCTTTTTTTTTAATAATTTTATTTAAGTATTTATTGTGCAAGAGTGTAGGTCTTAAGTCGCACAGGTCATAAGTCGAGGTGAAGGTGTATCCTCAGTTTGTCTCAAGACGTGACAATGAGCTCTTGTTTTCTATGGAAGTTATTCTTCTTAATTTTCTTCTGTGTAACTAATAACAGGCAAGAGTGGCAAGCATCACTTCAGAGGTCCTGGGTAGTTAGCATCCTTTAAATATTTTCTCCAGGTTATGCCGATGTGTCGGGAAATGAGCAGGCAGACAGACTGGTTGGTTCTGCACTAACTGGTGGTGATTTGATGTATGACACGTTAGATGTTGTGAGGGCCCTTTGGGAGTGAGTTAACAGTGCGGAGGCACAGATAGTTCAATACGGTCTGAGGAGAATGGCACTGCGAGGAGCTCCCAGGGGATCTGGCCGACGCTCAACACTTCGGGGTAAGGAGATATACAATAAGACGGTTACTTGTACTATTGGAATTAGAACTCTTCGCTTGCTGCTGAAGATGGGTACTGAGCACTTGGGTTATGTCCCGAGTGATGTGATGTCGATTCTTAATTCAAACTTCAACATCCAACATTCTATGTAACTACAAAAGACATCCCTTACTGCTTTCGACCATCTAACTTAGTTAATTAGTTAGTCGACATTACACATCGAATTAGTAGGTCCATAGGTGCTCGGATGTCCTCCTCAGTAAATCCCTCAGCGTGAAGCCGCTGACAAGGCCAGTTCTGTGTTGGTTTCTTATTTTTGTTTGGCTTCCTGCATAGTGAACTTGTCATGCCATGCCAGTTTTCAACTTCCTTGTTCTTGCAGTCTGGTCATGGTTGCTGATTTCAGGCATCTGTAGGTTCTCGCAAACCTCTCACTTCTCGTAGAGCATTCAGTAAATCCGTCTGTCGTGTGGCTCGTATTACCTTCACAATAGCCTCGCCTGCAAGCCTATCAACTTATTCATTTGCCTGCAAGCCTATCAACTTGTTCATTTGCCTGCAAGCCTATCAGCTTATTCATTTGCCTGCAAGCCTATCGACTTGTTCATTTGCCCGCAAGCCTATCAACTTATTCATTTGCCTGCAAGCCTATCAACTTGTTCATTTGCCTGCAAGCCTATCAACTTGTTCATTTGCCTGCAAGCCTATCAGCTTATTCATTTGCTTGCAAGCCTATCGACTTGTTCATTTGCCCGCAAGCCTATCAGCTTATTCATTTGCCTGCAAGCCTATCAACTTGTTCATTTGCCTGCAAGCCTATCAACTTATTCATTTGCCTGCAAGCCTATCAGCTTATTCATTTGCCTGCAAGCCTATGAGCTTATTCATTTGCCTGCAAGCCTATCAGCTTATTCATTTGCCTGCAAGCCTATCAGCTTATTCATTTGCCTGCAAGCCTATCATCTTGTTCATTTGCCTGCAAGCCTATCATCTTGTTCATTTGCCTGCAAGCCTATCAACTTATTCATTTGCCTGCAAGCCTATCAGCTTATTCATTTGCCTGCAAGCCTATGAGCTTATTCATTTGCCTGCAAGCCTATCAGCTTATTCATTTGCCTGCAAGCCTATCAGCTTATTCATTTGCCTGCAAGCCTATCATCTTGTTCATTTGCCTGCAAGCCTATCAACTTGTTCATTTGCCTGCAAGCCTATCAGCTTATTCATTTGCCTGCAAGCCTATCATCTTGTTCATTTCCTTGAAAACCTGCGTGCCCTAGCATGACTATGCAACTGATCTTTGCCACTGCTAACAGTTTCAGAGACATCAGCAATTGTCTTGGGACCTAGTCTATATCTTTTTTTCTCTGGCCCATCTAACTATTCAGTTACAGAAACGATTTCTTAATCGTGTTGGCCAGAGCTTTCCAAACTGTGCGTCGTGTCACATTAGTACTTCGGCTGCAGTGTAAAGGTGGGTCCCGCGAAAGAGTGTCTGTATCTTTTTAAAGTGGTTACTTTCCTTTGTTAACATGTTGAATTGCTGTGTCAGGAAATCATGAATGTCTAAAAAGTGTGTCAGCAACCTGAACAGTTTTGAAAGCTCTGCTGTAGGAAATAACACCGGATGTATGTGACTTAAAAACATGAAATGTCCCTCTGGTTTACTATTTACTTTACGGAACAGCTAAAAGTATAATTAAAAAGGTAATGGAACAAACAAAGATAATACAAAGATAGCATTATGGAAATTACAGTTGAAAATTAGTTACTGTTTTCTTATGCGGGTATACTTGCGAAAATGAAGCAGTGATTTCGTCGAGTAATGTTACATGATGAAGATATGTACGTGGTGACTGTTCTGATTCATTTCTTGAAGTACTCCGTAGAGGTACTTTGAGATAGAGACAAGGAAACGTTTGTGATGTCGCTCTGCATGACTTCCATCTGTCGCCTGAGAGCTTGCAAGTGGTACTGAATGTCATGCATTTGTTCGCGTGCGTTCTGGAATGTGCTGCTGACTGCATCAGCTGCTGTCTCTAGTTGCCTGTAGCTTTCGTCTATGGCAGCACTTCCCGACCAGAACTCATCGTCGCTGTTGAGGTTTGTATGTGTCGTAAGAGGCTGTGGAACCGGGGTTGGCCTGTGAGCTGTTTTTGTTTCGAATGGATATATGGCCGTTGGGCCGAGTTCGGTTGTGTCGATGACATTTTGTTGATGTGTTTTCGAGTTGTAAAACGTACAGCTGAGAACTAGGCTGGTGTCTGAATCGTCTTCCTCTTCCTTGTCCAGTCTTCCTTCATCGCGTTTGTTGTTTCTACCACTTCCACGGCCTGTTGCTCCAGGGTCGTCTTCTGCAGTCGCGTACGGTTCTTGGCCGTCATCGTCTCCTTCGTCGTCGGCATACAACTCACTTTCTGAACTAGCATCGTCCTGGATTTCTGAATATAAATCAAGATCGGATTCTGTCCGGTCTGTGGCGGACATTCTTGACCGGCGACCGTTGCCAGATGAGTAAAAGTCTTTGTAGTATTCTCTAATAGACCGGACATTTTCGGTAGTCAGTGGTAAAAGATCCGGTTTTCCGGTATTGTCGTCAACAGAACCTTTACATTCCTGCATCTCTTTGAGAATGGTTTGAACAGACATCAGTTCTTGAAATGTGTCTTCTATACTGGGGGCTTCAATAACAGATTTGACACCAGCAGAAGTGTGAGCATAAATTTCGTTGCCGTTTTCTTTATCCGTGTTTTTATCCTGTGTGTCTATGCATTTTCTGTCTCTGTCATTGTTTTGCGCGGAGTTTGAACCTTGTTTAACAGAGCCGCCGCTTCTGCTGGATCTGCTTTCGTGGCGTTTCCTGCGATGAACCGAAGAGTGAGCCTGGCTAGAGATTTCTGGTTCAACACTCCTAGCCTGGTTGTCAAAAAATGGTAGAATGGGCTTTGAATATTTCGGTGAGGTCAATATCCCAGATCCCATGTCATTTGTGCGTTTTGTGTTGTCGACGTCATGATCATTGTTATCAAAATAGTTATCGTCAGTTGGTTCACTGTGTCGGTTAAGGGAATATTCCGAGCCAGTGTCGCTGCTTCCGGTGCTCATTAAGTCGGTTCTGTTGCGACGCCGTTTCTTCAGCCATCTTTCTCTTCTTTCTCGCCAGCGTATAGCCATCATGGCTGCGGACAGCTGACCGGGTGGCTTCTGTCGTCGCGACCACAACGGTTTGTCATCGTAATAATCGGGAATGCCTCGTCCTTTGGCAACGTCATCGTCACTGTGGTATTCACGAGAGTTAGGTTTGTGGTCAGGTTCGTGAGGTTTGACGGGTTGTAGTTCCTCAAAATCCAGAAAAGAGTGATCGATATCCTCTTCATTTCTCTGAGCATAATCGTCAGTGTTTTTAAACACGTTTTCATCGTTGTTTTCATCGTTCTGAAAAGAATGAAACATCAACGGAGCGTCATCGACGTCTGATTCAGAAGACGTTGTTGTCGTTAAGGATGATGAAGTGTCTACAGTTAGAATTTTAACTAGAGGGGAAACAGGAAAACCGGTCTGGATTGAAGCAGAGTTTTCAGTCATGGTTGAGATGTCAATGTTGCTGCCTTCAGTGTCTTCCAAATATGTATCGCGTGTTGGGAAATCGTCTTTATCACTTGCAGAATCTTCAGGCTCGTCATTATTGCTCTGATGGATTTCCTCCGCGCCATCATCATCTTCCTGGTTGCTACTACCCAAGAGTTCAGACAATCGTTTAAAAATTGTGTCCGAGAATTCTTTAATCTCTTGCTGTTCTCTGGACATAGTCGCCATTGCCTGGACACCTTCCCCTTCTTCATCATCTTCTTCTTCTACATAGTCATCCTCTTCCCCAGATTCCTCAATTAGTTGCTGTAGTGCTGTAGGACTAGGAGGGGGAACATGTTCTGTTGTGTTTGACTCGTCTAGAAGTTCTATTTCATTCGTCTTCCTTCCGTTTGATGCCATTTTTACAAACTTTTTCTCAGAACAACCGCTTGTCTGTTCATCTTTTGTAGTCTCCTGGTCAGATTTAACAGGGGTTACAATTGGATTCTGAGTCTGAACAGTTTTCGACATTCCAAAGTTTTCTGCAATGTCAATTAATCCTCGGCTGTCGACGCTCTTGTCGGCTGTTGTAAATGAATCCGTTTGAATTTCTTGACATCTTAACTGGCATAAGTTGTCATTGACGTCTGCAGCAGTAGGACCTGCAGGACCTTGCAGACCTCGTCTCTGCAGAACCTCGCTCAGCTGCTCGTGTTTCTGGACTGTTACGAGTTGTGACTGAACTACAATCTGGTCAGGTAAAGTGATGCCAGGTCGCTGACGGTGTTGTTTGTGCTGTTGCTGTTGCCGAAGATGTCTTTCGTGCTGTTGTGGCTGTAGCTTGCTACGACTTATCATTTGAGAGATGACCTCAGACAGCGGTTGTTTGAAAACAGACACTCGTTCCTCATCCTGAGTGACCTTGTTCGCCTGCCCAACATCTCGCTTCAGTTGTAAACTTACTCTCTGATTCTCTACTCGGTCGACACTGGTCTCGGAACCATAACAAATTCCCACAGACTTCTGACTAGCTAGAGAACTTAAATCACTTTCTGAATCATTGGATTCTTCACGTGTATCAACAGTAACCCTGTCTCTCTCACTATCCCTTATCAACAAAGTCTGAGCGTCTTGTGGACGGCTTTTGGAAACAAAATCACCTCGTAACGAAATATCTGCAGTTAGCTCCTCTTTTGATAAATCACCGTGTGCTTTCCTGGAAAATGTCACACAATCTGATAAGTGTCCGTCGCCTTCGGATGATAATAAAGAAGACGAGGACGGTTGTGAAAGAGGGATTGTTCCTTGTGAATTGTCAACTGTGTTGCGTGTACTGGCAAGTTTACAACCGTGGCGTTGATCTAACGGTGTATCTTGCGCTTGCGCAATGCCAGCATTCTTTTCTGAACATGTTGATTCGTGTCCAAGTGTAGCTGGGGAGGGGGGATATATGGGAGTAGAACGATTCGGAGAGGAGACAGACGAATCAAATAACAACACACGATTTGTGGAATGTGGGAGTTTTGTGGCAGAAGAACCCAGCTGCCCTGATTTTGCGGTTATTTTTGTGCCGCGAATTTCTCCAGGCTGTGTAGTTTGCGAAGACACAGCACACGCCACAGCCTGTTTTTGCCCAAACGAAATTAATTTTTCCTTCTCTGTTTCGTTGGAAGGTTTACCTGCACTTTGCGGGGAAGAACTCACCCTGGATTTCGTGTTATCTTTACAGCTGGCTTCAGCAGGGTTGTCTCTAGTTGCCCTCATTTCGGAAAGCGAGTTATTTATACCCTCAGTTCTGTCTGCAAGCAGTGACGCTGTGCCGATAATTTCTGAAGCTGTATATATTTCCCTAGGAGGTTGGGCTGTTTTTTGTTGTTCGTCTGCTTTCTCTTCAGATTTATCTGCAGACTGTGAACTTCTTTTGCGAAGTTCATGTTCTTTTGGTTTAATTAATCCAGACCTCTTATCAGAAGAATCTGAACAGACGGGAAATGAACTTAAACTTGCTTTAGTAACTTCTCTTTCTGTTCTATGCCTTCCCTTCAAGTCTTCATGGCTTGTTTCCTTTTTATTACAGCAGCCTTGTAACTGAACATTTTCTTCTGTCTGTGCTTTGTCTCCCTCAATATTATCGTTTATTTCATCAAATTTAACTTGAAGGTGTCTCCTAAGTTTTGGCGAAACAGAACCAAACACAGCAGACAATGTTGGAATCATAACTTCTGGCTGCTCTCTTCCGTTTTTATTGTTATGGTCAACCAAAGTTTTATTAACTTGATCTCTATTGTTGTCTTTTAACTGTTCGTCATCATGAGGTGAACAGTTATCCTGGTTAAATAATGGCGTTGGTGCCTCTTCATCGACCATGACATTATCATATTTAGACACTGATTTCTGAGCTGCCGAAAATAATCTGGGCATTTCCGGGGGCCCCTCTTGCTGTGCAGATAATCTGTGACAGACAAGAACTTGCGATGTGCTCTGGACAGTTCTAGAGGCACCAAAACTGGACATTTCACTTGGGGAGTTAAACAGAGCTGCAGTTTTTGCTCGCTGCATTTTTGGTGAGATACTGGCGTGCCTCGTGCGGGCTCCAAACCGGCGCAGAACTATTGGGGATGTGGATGGACTTGGCGATTCGTATGTCTCATTGTAAAATCTTGTCACATCCCTGTTGTATAGCTTCGTGTTGACGCTTTGTTTCCCCTCATCTCGAACAAGGTGAAGCTTCTTTTTATTTGATGGAGTTGCGGGTAGAGATCTTGATCCGTGAAGTTCTTCTTTAGACCTCTCTTTAATTAGGAAAGGTTCTGCGTCAGGGAATTTTTCTCTAATGGTTTTTTCTATTGACCGTTCCAGCTCTTCTAGCTTCATAATGCACACAGCTGCTGTTGAAGATAATGGCGGGCTACGCTCCCGGATAAGATGCCCACTTTCGACATAGCCAACTTTTTCTTTGTTTGATTTGGTTTCTAAATTGGAACTGACAGTGCTTATCTGGCTGTGTTTCTGCGTTGCTAGCGTCACAAAACGTGATTTTTGTTGAGTTTCTTTTTCACATACGCTTGAATCAGTGATCAACGGAAACACAACTTCATTTGTTGCAACGGATGCCTCTGCTGTTTCTTCTTTGCTTGTAGTTTCAGCTCTGTCTTCGGTGCAGAGTTTATCAGCTTGTTTATCATTTTTTCTTGAAGTACCGAAGATGGAATCTTTAATCGGTTTTTTTGATTTCTTACTTCGTGGTCTTTCCCAAGTTTTCCACGCTGGTTTAGATTTGACCTTTCTGTCACTTTCGTTGCTGGTTGAATAGCTTCTGCCTCGCGTCTCCTCAGACGCTGAGTCCGTTTTACTGTCTTCGTCATTGTTTGTTTCTGCTTTTCCTCGCTTACTGCTGGATCTGAAAAGAGCTAGAAAGTTCGCAGCTCTTCGCTGGGGACCCGGGGTCGAAGGCGCAGGCGATGAACTCTCTGACGTGGTCACCTTGAAGGGAGATGATATTTTTGGCGATAGAGTTCTCCTCTGCGGCTTAGGGGATGTTGGTTTAAGGACAGGTAAAGGAGACGGGTGCTGAAATATCCGGTTGTGGTTGTAGAAGTGAGGATGGTGCTGGCCGCTTGTTGGTGAAAGTGGCCGCTTTTCTTGCGACTCCGTTCGAATACATTTCTGAACAGGGGTTGATGTTGGGGATGCGGAGACTTTACTTCTGTCTGTGGTTCCCACTAAGGGCGAATATGTGGCAGGGAAGCTGTCACCGTGCTCGCCGCTAGCTGAAGAATGAGACCCAGTGAAGCTGGTCGCAAGCTCTGCTGGTAGTTTTGATGCAGTGCTGCTGTTAGGATTGAGAGTCCGTTGTCCCTGTCGAGACTTTGTAGATGAAGTCACGTCTTCCAAGCGAGCGATCTCTGAAGGAATGCATGCTTCTAGAGAGAACCCATCTTGAAAGTCTTTAGACGATAAGACGTACGGGTGCTGGGCACCTAGCGAGGCCTGCTCGTTCACCCCTAACCAGGATGCGCCTTGTTCGTGTTCGGATCTGGTGGATGAGTCCAGGTAGGGACTGAACGAAATATTTTCCGCGGAATGAAATACACATGACTCAGAATCGCCTCCAGTCACATGGCTTGATTCGTCAAAGTCAATTTCGGGGTCCAAAACTGCGTTTCCGAGTTGTTTCTTTCGTTTTTCTGCTTTTTCTTTCTTTTTTCCTTTTTGTACATCTTTTTCATTTTTCTTTTCCTCTTTGGGTTTGCTCGCCTCCTTGTTGTGACCTTGTCTGTTTCCCATTTTTGTCTTCGGAATTTTTTTTTCCGACTCCCTAACCAACTTTGCGAAACCAAACTGGTCTAATAAAATTGTTTAAAGCAATTGTTTTATTTAAATTGTTTTCTGACATGAGGGTGATCAGTACAATTATCTCTTTTACAGTTTTTTTAACCTGCTTAATTATGTCAAAATTTTATAATCGTTTCATTATGTCAGTTTTTATAATCTTATAATTATTTAGTTATTCCTTCATTATAGAACAGCATTTGCCAGATTGTCAGCTGTTTAAACTTTCTAAGTCTTCTTTAATTTACTACCAGATTTTTCTGGGTGTGTCGACCACAAGAAGGTCAATGGTTTAATCGAAATATTTGCTGCAAAATTGACTTCCTTTAGCAATTCTACAGTTCTGAATACAGTATTTAAGAATCATGTTTCTTTTTGTTTTAACTGGCTGAAACAAATTTGACAAGTTTCGGTAGTCTGATGCACATGAACTTTAAGAACAACTGTGAATTGCTGTAAGAAATATACGGAACCTTTTCAAAAGGAAGTTTCAAATTCTCTTCTTCCTTTTTGTGTGTGTTTTTATTTGCGTTATCATTAATGTATAATTTTTGTTTCTTCAAACTCGATGCTAATTTGTGTCTTTAATATGTTAACACTTTTTAATTAGAGGCAAATCGAAACAGACTGGAGGATTTATCTCGAGACTAGCTGACGTATGATAAGGCTGGGTGTCATATAACGGGGTGTATGACATAACAATGCAGGGTGTATAACAAGCTATATGTCCTATAATGAGACTGTCTGTTGTATAACCAGGTTGAGTGTCATATAACGAGACTACCTGACATACAACGAGACTACCTGACATACAGCGAGGTTAGACGTCGTAAAACGAGGTTCAGAAATGTTTAACGAGACTGGGCGACGTATAAGGTATCTACAAACAAAAACTAGGTTTTCAACAGCAGCAACCGAGTAAGTCACGTGGTTGTTGTGATCCGGTTTCAGATCAAGTTTGGTCGAATTTCGAGGCAGCGGTGAACATGTTGTTCCAAGTTTGCTCACTCCAACTATCGTGTGATTGGCTGATGGACCGCCAACGTTTCAAGGATTCAGGGCCAAATTCTTTTCCTGGAGAGAGCAATCATAAAATACAGTTATTTACAGATGATTAAAGCAATACATCAAATTACACACACAAAATAAATAAACAATTTGATTGTTACTAACCAAACCTTGCATCATCATAATCAAGTGCCTTGTAAACTAATGTGGGCGATCACACCTCACCCCCAAACTGCGATCTTCACAGGATGTGTCAGTTATTGTGCTGACGCCAGTTTAATTCATGGCAAAAAGGCTTTCAAGAATTGTCTCACCTTGTCTTCCTATGTCTTTTTTCACCACATTTAGGAAAATCTTTGTCGAGGTTTCAACTTCGCTACAGTCGGGTCATATGTGCCAGTGAAAATCAAATGAAACGCCCCTCACTGTTGCATTTTGAAAAACTGGTGAACAAACAATTAGACCCGGCACAAATCATAAATATGCACACGCAGTACATGCATTTGGCAATTACTAGAGGTGCCAAAGCCATAGATCTTTCCAATGGTGACACTATGTTCCAGTTCCCTTCTTCTCATTGTGTGACAACCCACCCCCCACCCACCCCCACCTCTCCCCTCCTGACATCCAAATTATGACTTTCATTGTGTTGTTTGTGAAACAACTTCCGGACATAGCCATCAGCAGGTAGGAGGCGCTATAACACACACACAGGCAGGCAGGCAGGCACACTTTACCTGGGGTATTAAATATGGGTGTATCCTTGGCACTTTCTTTTCTGGAACACTTCTTTCCTGTAGAGAAGGAAAAGACATCATGGATCCAAGTTTGAAAATGGTGCTCAGTTTCCAAGGAACAATTAAAGTGGAAGAGAGGAAGATAAGTGGATAGGTAGGTTTTTCTTATGTAAACAGGCAGACACGTAGACAGACAGGCACGTAGACAGACAGGCACGTAGACAGGCAGGCACGTAGGCAGGCAGGCAGGCACGTAGACAAGCAGGCACGTAGACAGGCAGGTACGTAGACAGACAGGCGCGTAGACAGGCAGGCACGTAGACAGGCAGGCACGTAGATAGGCAGGCACGTAGACAGGCAGGCACATAGACAGGCAGGCACGTAGACAGGCAGGCACGTAGACAGGCAGGCATGTTGACAGGCAGGCACGTAGACAGACAGGCACGTAGACAGGCAGGCACGTAGGCAGGCAGGCACATAGACAAGCAGGCACGTAGACAAGCAGGCACGTAGACAGGCAGGCACGTAGACAGACAGGCACGTAGACAGGCAGGTGCGTAGACAGGAAGGCAGAAAAATGCGATAAGTCTAAGCTAGCTTTTTTTTTTCAGTTTATTGGTAGGTAGGTCTCGGAAGGTGAAATATTTTGGTCATATTAAGTTACACGAGGCGGCAGAGCCGGCGGGAGATAGCTTCTTTTATGAGAGCGACGTTCTGCAAAGGACCAGCTACATGGTGATGATAATGTTTATGATGATGATGATGATAAGGTAGGTAGCTAGCTAAATAAGTAGGTAGGTAGATACGCAGGTGGGTAGGTAGGTAGATTCGTAGCTAGGTATACAGGTAGGCAAGTAAGTTAGCATTACTTGGTATTCAGGGTAAATGTTTAAATAAGTAAATAAATACCCATAGATCGAAGATAATGTAAATTCTGTGGACCAATATAATGACAGATAAGTTAGTAGGCAATATGAAACAGCAGGTAGACATACGGCGAAGTAAGAGAAAAAAAAAGTTAGGCATTTGCTTTAAAAGTCACTTGGGGGCTGCGTGGTCTCCATGCATGGTGTCCGCCTCGAGTGCTAGAGGTTCCGTGTTCAATCCCCGATAAGGGCTGGGATTTTTTCACCTGGACTTCTAGTAATTCCTCCTGGTTTCTGGGTAGTGAGATCGGACGCCCGTGTGTATTGTTACTCACGTAAAAAAATCCCTTGGCAGTTGAAAATCGAAAAGAGTGGTCTAACGGCGCTGCCTGGTCAAAGTTTGGAGTTCAAAATCCACCCAAAGTATTTCAGGATCCTCGCCGGTGCTACAGAGCCTGTGCACTGTGCTGAGCTTCTTCTGACTCAGACTTGAGTTAGAAGAAAAACGGAGCACTTATGGGTTACTACCCGTGTCCCATGATGTTGATCCGTTATTCAAACCTCAAAAACCTGGAATAGTCAGTTGATTCATGAACTTGGTGACCTCATTACTGTTCTGTGAATGATCCTCGCAAAAACGACACCCTTACACATTTTTTGCAAGTTAGTTTCGTATTACAAGTATTGAAATGTTTCAACGAGCATTTTTGCAAGTTAGTTTCGTATTACAAGTATTGAAATGTTTCAACGAGCATTTTTGCAAGTTAGTTTCGTATTACAAGTATTGAAATGTTTCAACGAGCATTTTTGCAAGTTAGTTTCGTATTTCAAGTAATGAAATGTTTCAACAAGCATTTTTGCAAGTTAGTTTCGTATTACAAGTATTGAAATGTTTTAACGAGCATTTTTGCAAGTTAGTTTCGTATTACAAATATTGAAATGTTTCAACGAGCATTTTTGCAAGTTAGTTTCGTATTTCAAGTATTGAAATGTTTCAACGAGCATTTTTGCAAGTTAGTTTCGTATTTCAAGTATTGAAATGTTTCAACGAGCAATTTCTGTTGCATGGCAGTGAATCTTGGAATGTGAGGAACGAAATTACAGAGTTTCGATGCAACTGAGATGTGGTTCTTGAGAGGAATGTTACGATGCTCTTAGGCTGCCAGAATAACTAACAATGATTGCCTGAAAATAGCTAATAAAAGTAGAACTTTATATAAAAAAATAAGGAGACAAACACAATTCGTTGGTCATGTGATGAGAAAATTGGTATTGACAAATATGGTGACGACTGGAAAGATCACTGGTAGAAGAGACAGAGGCAGACCAAGAGGCACGATGGTGGATAGCTTAAGACAGTGGCATGGAGGAACATCATCAATGGAACTGATCCAGAACACCAAAGACGGAGATCTGCGAAGATGCATGAACGCCTGGGCCAGTTGGCAAGGCACTTGATGATGATGATAATAATATCCTTTAAATGACATTGCAGAACCAATCACAGCGTTGACGTCACTGGGGGTGTCTGGGGTCGGACTAGGTTGCAGGAAGTGCTAAATATAACACAAAATGTGACTAGAAAGCTAAATGGAGGAAATGGTAAAGTCTGTGCTGTATTTAATCATCTGTTGATTAAGACTTTGGTCGAAACGTTCAGCTGCGTTTGTACGTCTTCTCCATTCCTTCCGATGAGCTTTCTAGTCACATTTTGGGTTATATTTAGAATAACTTGCAATCCCAGCATTGTTAAGCTTATTTTTTTTTTTTTTTAATGCAGTAAACTCTTTCAGTCCCAATGAACACATAGGTTTCTACCTCGAAGCCCAAAGAACGCAAGATGAGTTGATTTCATATCTCTCTTGACTATCCCTTGGGCCTGTGATGCTAAACCCCCTGGGACTCTAAGACCTAATTTGCCATTGCCCACTGACGGTCTACTCTCGCTGCTATTGTCAAAATCAACACAAGGCGGCGGTCTGCTGCTGAATGCCTGAACTGGAATCGATATGGGTAACTCGGAATTGTGAAGCGTGTTCGAAATGCCTAAGCCACAGACGCCGACCTATTTGTGAGAAGGAAAGCGGGGAAAATATACAGGTAAATACGCAGGTAGGTAAAGAGATAAACATCTAAAAAAGACAAATTAACTTATGCTAGCACAAACACATCAAACGCCATATGCACAGATAATATCGGGGGAAATTAATAACCCACTCAAAGAGAGCATCAACAGGAACATGCAGAATCAACATTCGCGCTTCGAAGGTTCTCTAGACGTACATACACATATATACTCATGTATTCATCCACACACACATACGCGCGCACACACACGCACACA